CCATCCATCCATCCTCACCCGCATTGCGCCCCGCCCTCCCCCCGCCGCCGACCCCACCCCACCCTCGCCGCAGGCCTCATCCAGCAGCTGCTGACCACCAGCGAGTGGGGCGCGCTGGACTACCTCATCGTCGACTTCCCGCCCGGTACCGGCGACATCCAGCTCACGCTGTGCCAGTCGGTGGCCTTCTCCGCCGCCGTCATCGTCACCACCCCGCAGAAGCTGGCCTTCATCGACGTGGCCAAGGGCATCCGCATGTTTGCCAAGCTCATGGTGGGGCCTGCCGGCCGAGGGGGCCCCTGCCGTGGGGTCCCCTGCCGTGGGGGCGGCTGCGTGGGCGGGCGCCGCCTGGTCTTGGCCGCCCGCCGCCTGGGCGCTTGCGTCGCCTGGTGGTCTCTGCCAGCATGCCTCTTAGGCTGCGCTGGGCTGGGCGCCTGCCTGGCTTCTCCTCCTGCCCCCGGAATCCAGACCCGCCGCACCAGCGCATCCCCCATCACACACACATCCCCTACAAACACACACTCTCTCTCTGTCGCCAACTAACCGGTGCAGGTGCCGTGCGTGGCTGTTGTGGAGAACATGTCTTACTTTGACGCAGACGGCAAGCGCTACTTCCCGTTCGGCAAGGGCTCGGGTGCGCAGGCGCTGCGGGGCTTGGGGCTTGGGGCTTGGGATCGGCAGCTGGCTTGGGGGCGCCGGACACGCCGCGCGACCCCCGGCCCACAGCTGCATCGCCAGCAGCCAGCGCCTCCCAGCCTGGGTCCTGCTGTGGTGCTGCCTCTCCCCTGCCTGGGGCCCATCATCGAGCCCCTGCCCCCTGCCTCAGGCGAGCGCATCCAGCACGAGTTTGGGCTGCCCAACCTGGTGCGCTTCCCCATCGTGCCGGAGCTGTCGGCGGCGGGCGACGGCGGGCGGCCGGTGGTGGTGCAGGACCCGGCGGGGCCCACCTCGCAGGCCTTCCTGGAGCTGGGGGCGGCGGTGGTGCGCGAGGTGCGCGCCCGGGCGGGCGGGATGGGCACGGACGCGGCGGGCGGCGGTGTGGGATGCTTGGCTGTGTGTTACCGCTGAGCTGGCTTTTGGCGGTCCTGGGCAGCGCTTTGGCCGCCCTTGAGTGGCCATCAGTCGCGCAGGCCTGCAATTGCACCTCCAAATATGCACCCCCGGGACACCACACCCCCAAGACATCACATCCACCCCGACCTCCAACCACCCCAAACAACCTCCGCAGGTGGCCAAGCTGCGGCGCGTACCGCAGAACTGCGTGCGGTACGACCAGGAGCTGGGCGCGCTCGTGGTGCGCCTGCCCAACACCGAGGAGGACTTCTTGCTGGACCCCGCCACTGTGCGGCGCAACGACCAGTCTGCCGCCTCCATCAATGAGTGGACGGGGGAGCGCACGCTGAGGTGGGCTTGCGGGCGTGGGTGTTGGTGGGCGTGTGGGTGTGTGGGTGTTGCTGGGGGTGTACGCACGCATGGCCTCCAGCACTGCACCCAGTCGTGCACAATGCTGCTCCTGCTTCCCCACCTGAGCCCCCGCCTGCCTGCCTGCCCGCCTTGGATCCCAAGCATTAATTCCCCCTGCTCCCCTCCCACTGCTCGCCACCTGGCGCAGGGACAGCGACATCGCTGACGACATCCAGCCCGTGGGCGTGCAGCCGGTGGGAAACTACGCGGTGCAGATCAACTGGCAGGACGGCTTCAGCCAGATTGCGGCGTATGAGCTGCTGGACGCGCTGCCGCGGCTCAGCCCCGACGACGCCCTCGCGCGGCAGCAGCTGCGGGCGCGCCTGGCGGGCATCGTGAGCGGCAGCGGCGGCAGCGGCGGCGAGCCCGAGGGCGGGCCCTCGGCCGCGCAGCAGATCCTGCAGAATGCGCAGGGGGCGCCCTCGGCTCAGAGCGCCCCCCAAAACTGAAACCCCAACCTGCGTTGACGATACTGACACCAAACTGCCCTTGCGCTTGCACCCCTGATTTATCTCCCCTGTGCTTGCTCTGCTCGCTTTGATTTCATGACGACCGATTTTGTGCCGCCCGCAGCCTGCAACCCGCTTCATTCCCATTGTCGCATCTTGAAGCCGATGCACGGCTGGCCACCACGACCAATCTCGGCGCCCTGGCCACCAGTCTGTGCTTGCCGGCCACGCCCGACACTCCCAAAGGGCGGCGCCACGCTGTACAACGCTACGGCGCAGCTCAGCAGGCCCCCAGATCTGGCCCTATCGTCTCATCACAGCCACAGCTGTATTGTCAGCCGTTTGCCCTCAACAGAGGCTCGCAAGCTCTCTTCCACGAGCCACCTCGTGAGGACTGCTGGTGGGAAGGCCACTGTTGGCCCAACCTGGTGGCTTGGGAGGGGGTGCTTCTGCCTGGGCCTGGTGCGGGCTGCTTCTTGCTGGAATTCGTGGTGCAAAGAGAGGACCTGGTCGCCCTTCGACCACAGAAGTCGAACTGAGGGCAGTGGAGCAGCTGTGCATTGAGGGAGGGAGGGACCTTGGCACCCCAGGCAGCTTGGCTTGCGGAGGCTCCATGGCCTGTGGTCTGACGCCGCGTGTGCGCTTCAGCGGTACCGTCGCACAACAGCGGGACCGCCCGACGGAGACGGACTGCGCTCCGCCAACGTCCCTGATTTTATTCTGCGCGCCCCTGGCTCCCCTCCCCCCGCAGGTCGACATGGATGCAGGGCCTAGGGTCTTTCCGCCCTACGGGAGTGCTCGGCTGCAGCCTGCCAAACGGCTGCCGGCAGTGGGGTCGCGCTATGGGACGCTGTTCTTCATCGGTGTGGTGTGGGGGCTCCAGCTCGCCAGGGTGCATGCTCCTCCCTGCGAGCAATGCTACTTTGTCATCCCCGCCGACAGCTGGCGGGCGGTGTGCATCCCCGCCGTGGCGGGGGTGGCCTTAACAGCTGGCCCCGACCTGCTGAAGCGTGTGCGGTCGCGGACGGTGGCCCTGGCCGTCGCCTCTCTTCTGGCATCCGTGGCCCACACTGCCATCCGCTTCCCCCACAACTGCTTCCTGGCCATCGCGCCGCACGCCATAGTGCCCGCCGCGTCAGGCAAGTGGCGTATTGGTGCCGTGCCTGCCGCCAGATGGGCATGCACACCAGCTCTCATCGTGCGCTGGACGCGACATGCTGCCTGCCTGTGCAGTTCTGGCGCTGGTGCTGGCGTGTGTCCAGCTTGCCTCCTATGCTGAGGCCGCCGCAGCTGCTGCTGCGGGCGGGGTGGTGTGCATGTACATTGCAGCCGCCATGGCGCGTACCTCCTCGGCAGGCCTGCCAGCGCTACTGGCCATCCCGTCCGGCTGCGCTTGGGGAGTGTCCAAGTGGTTCATTGGGGAAGTGGACAGCCTGGGCGCCTTCTTCCTGCAGGATGCAGGTAAGGCGCCGCCTGGGCTGCCACCTCAGCAAGCGCCGCCTGGACAGCCCGTCGAGCTGCGCTGCCTTGAGGCAGCATGCTGCATGCGCTGTCCACTCCGCCTCCCCACACACCCCTTGCGCTATTGCGTTTCCACAGAGGCCACCGGTGGTGTGGACCTGGCGCCAGCGGGCGACGACGCCATCGCTGCTGATGACTGATGGTCGGGTGCGCGCCATCTCGGTTCCTGCCAGCGTTGGTTGGAGCATGGAAGCAGCATCGCCAGGCAGGCACGAGCGTCTCCAGCGCTGAGCCAGTCATCAGCGCTGAGCCACCCCGGTCAGCTGACTGCTCCCACGCTGTGCTGCTTGTGCCCCTCAGTACGCGCGCTCCCTGTGGCCTGGCGTGCATACATACCCATCCATAAACCCTGCTTACTTGAAACCTTGGACCTGTCGCCCAATCCTGGACTCCTCTGCCGCGCTGCTGAAACAACTCCCGCCTGGCATGGGCCAGTCTGTGTTTGGCAGACACTTTAGTTCATGAACTGGGAACGAATCTGCACACCATTACAGGCAATGCTCTCTGCATGCAACCCTCTGTGCAGGGCAACGCCGCCGCCGCCGCCTTGCGGGACGGTGTGTGTACTGCACCACCCCTACTGAAGAGCGGTGCTCCGGCGGCTGATAAAACTGCGATCGCTATTGCCACCAACGGTGCTCCATCGAGGCTCACCGCGCTCCTTGCTGCCGAGCAGCTTCTGGCACGCAATCACCTGCCCCGGCGGTCAGTTGTGCACTGCAGTGGGGTTGTCGATCGCTTGCGCAGGCCCTGGGTTGCGCCGCGAGCCACCCGCCTGCTGCCGCCTCACCCCTGCCTGGTGCCGCACTCCGCCGGCCGCCGCCGCCACCTGTGCAGAGCCCCCTTGAGCCGGTCAGCACAGGCCGATCCCGTGCGCCATGTCGGAGTACGCCGACCCCGCCGACCAGCTGGAGCCCACGCTGCAGAATGTGCTGGACCAGACCAGCCTCAAGTGGATCTTCGTGGGCGGCAAGGGCGGCGTGGGCAAGACGACGTGCTCGTGCAGCCTGGCCACGCAGCTGGCGGGGGTGCGGGACAGCGTGCTCATCATCTCCACTGACCCAGCCCACAACCTGTCAGACGCCTTCCGCCAGAAGTTCAGCAAGGCGCCCTCCCTGGTCAACGGCTTCACCAACCTGTATGCCATGGTGAGAGCGAGGGCGGTGGTGTGTGTGTGCGCTGTGCGGGCGTGGTGTACGTGTGTGGTGGGTCATCAGAGGAGACCACGCTCCACCACGCACACATGACACATCATGCTGCCCTCCTAGACGCACCACCACCACCACCACCAGCAGCAGTAATCGTGCCGCAGCGCAGCAGCACCTGATGCGCCAGCCGGCCCCGCCGCGCCCGACCCTTGCCTCCGCTCCCCCGCCCCCCCCCCCTGCTGTGGCCGCCGCGCCCAGGAGGTGGACCCCACGCCCGACCTGAGCGAGGTGGAGGGGCTGGGGCTGGAGGAGCAGGGCGGCTTCCTGGCAGACATCTCCACTTCCATCCCAGGCATCGACGAGGCCATGAGCTTTGCGGAAGTGATGAAGCAGGTGCGCTGGGCCCCCTCCTGCTGCTGCTGCTGCCGGGCCCTGCTCCGCCGGCACACTGCTGCTGGCTGCTTGGTGCTCCTGGCGCGCGTGCGTGGCGGCGCCGCTCAGACCCTGACGCCACGGGCGCTGCGTGCTGCCCCCGCCTGCTGCTGCACAGCCGAATGCCTGTTGCCCCTGCTGACCACCTTGCTGGCGCCTGTGCTTGGCTGGGCTGCCTTGGGTGCAGGTCCAGTCCTTCGACTATAGCTGCATCGTGTTTGACACGGCGCCCACAGGCCACACGCTGCGCCTGCTACAGGCAAGCCCGAGCTGGCCTGCTGCCGGTGGCCGCTCCTGCTGCTGTTCCTATTCGAATATCCAGCTGGCGCCCTTCGCTCGCCCAGGCGGCACCTCCCTCCGCTGCTCTTGGCCCCGCCCCTGTCGTTCTGCTGCTGCCACCGCTGCAAATGTAGTGCCGCTGCTCCCCTTGCCTCGCCCTGCCCGCAGTTCCCCACCACCCTTGAGAAGGGGCTGAACAAGCTGATGAGCCTGAAGGACAGCTTTGGCGGCATGGTCAGCCAGGTGTCGCGCATGCTGGGCCCCACCGCGCCCGGTGGGGACGACATGGTGGACCAGCTGCTGGGCAAGGTGGACCAGCTCAAGGTGAGGGCTTGACTCAAGAGGGGTGGGTGGGCGACAGGGGGCCCCAGCGTGTGGCTGGGTTTGGACAGAGATGACGGAGGGGGCGGTCGCGTGCTGCATCTCCTGTCGCTCGGACCTCATTTCGGACCTCATTCGCCCAACATTACACGCGCCGCACACACATTGTGATCCACCGCGGGCGTGCCCCGCCCTGACTGGTGCACACGTTCGCCGCCGCCCCCACCCCTCCTGCCGCAGTGCGTGGTGGAGGAGGTGAACGCCCAGTTCAAAAACGACGAGCTGACCACGTTTGTGTGCGTCTGCATCCCGGAGTTCCTGTCGCTGTACGAGACGGAGCGCCTGATTCAGGTGGGGATCGCATGGGGCCGTGCCGGGGAGCTGGACGGGCAGGGAGGGCCACGCCTCACGGCGGTGGCTGTGGCCAATGCGCGGCCCTTCTCTGGTGGGCCCCTGCCTGTCCCTGCCCTGCCTGAAGCACTATGCGCTGCCCTGCAGGAGCTGGCCAAGTTTGAGATTGACAGCCGCAACATCGTGATCAACCAGGTCATCTTCCCAGAGGAGGGTGAGTGAAGCTGGTAGAGCAGGGCGTCTCCTCCCCGCACCTGCCAGCTTGTCCAGCCGCAATGGGCCTCTCCTCCTCCAGCTGCTCCCCTTTGCCGCTCCTAGACCAAGCCCTGCTGCCACGCTTGCCCTGCGCCTCTCCAAGCTCACTACTCTGCCCAGCCGCCGGCCCCTCACCTCCCCTCGCCCCACCCTCTCCTGCCCGCTCACCTGCAGCGGGCAGCAGCCGCCTGCTGGCTGCGCGTGTGCGCATGCAGCAGAAGTACTTGGACCAGTTTTACGACCTTTACGAGGACTTCCACATCGTGAAGCTGCCGCTGCTGGAGGAGGAGGTGGGTGGGAGGGGAGGGTGGGAGATGGGTGTTGTGAGGCGGACGGGTAGGTGGGACGCCTGCCTGCCTGTCTGGTGCTGGGGGAGGTGGAGCCGGTGGGCTGCCAGCTGCTGGCAGGGAGGGTGGGTGGGTGGCCTGCGGCCCGCCTCCTGTTGCTGCACTCAGGCGCCGTGCCGCTGCCCGCTGAAGCGGCCTCGAGCGCTATCCTGCCTGCTGTGCTCCTGCTTCCTGCAGGTGCGGGGCCCGGAGGCCATTCGCGCCTTTTCGCAGCACCTGATGCGGCCGTACCAGCCGCCCGCCGCAGCGCAGCAGGCGGCCGACGGCGGCAGCGCCGGCGGCAGCAACAGCCTACTAGAGGAGCTGCGGCGGCAGGTGGAGGCGCAGCAACAAAAGATTGCGGAGCTGGAGGCGCAGCTGAAGGCGGCGGGCAAGTAGGGGCGAGCTGGGGAGGCTGCTTGGCTTGCACGCATAGTGCCACAATTATGACGTGCGCTGGACACTGTGCTGCTCCAGTATAGTGTGAGTTTACACAGATAAAGAATGGGATCGGGTTAGGGGGACAAAATGATCAGCAGCACCGCATAAAAACAGTTACTGGAATGATGGAAGAGCTGGGCAACAGGTGGTGGCGCCCGGCCAATGAAACTGAGCTGTTGTCTATGTGGCGGTGCCAGCAGTGCGCAGTTTCCGCGGGGCATCACATGATGATGGTTCCTGCAGCAGCCACGCATCGTAGGCATACTGTGGGCCACAGCGCGCGTGGGTGCAGCAGTACACCGCCGGCGCCAGCATCCTGCATCCAAGCTGGCACCGCCAGCAGCCTTGGCACAGGCCACGCCCACCTGGCTCCAGGATTGAGTCCTTGATGTCCTTGTGCGGCAGTACAATGGCACCGTTGAGGTACACCTCATCCTGCGGGGCAGTCCGGGGCGGAAGATAAAGGGACACACCGGTGAACAGGTAGAGGGCACACGAGCAGAGGGCAACTAGGTGTGTAGGCGGTGGAGCTGCTGCTGCTGCAGGCTGGCCAGGATGGAGAAGGGCAGGGGAGTGGCACAGAACACCCAAGTCGTGCTGCCGCCCGCCGCACCTTGATGAACACATCCTCCCCAATCACCGCCTTGTTCTCAATCCGCGCCCAGCTGCCGACTGCAGGCGCAGGGTAGGGGTGGGGGGCCATCCAGGCGTGCCGGTTACTTCGTCAACGAGCACATGTACGGCGGCATGCAGCTCGCGGAAGGTCTGGCCCGCCTCGCCCTCGCTCACTCTTGCTGCTCCAGCCGATGATGCTGTCCGCCACGCGGGCAAAGTTCTTGATGGTCACGCGGTTCAGGATCACGCAGTTGGACAGCCGCACGCCGTCGCCAATCTCGCAGCTGCGGGTGGGGTAGGAGGGGCGCGGGTGAGGAGAGGAAGGATGAAGAGGAGGGGCACCGCAGAGTAAGGGGTGCGTGTGTCTGTGTCTGTGAGCAAAGCCAGGTAGGCCAGACGGCGATGGCAGGCTGGGGAGATGACAGGGCAAGGAACCCTGCCAGCCACTCACAACTTGCCGATGGCCACATTTGGGCCGATGAGGCAGTCCTTGCCGATCTTGGCGGTGGAATCGATGATGGCGTTGCCGCTGATGTGGCTGCCCTCTGCCAGCGTGTCGGGCGCCTTTTCCCGCACCGCGGCCAGGTGCAGCGCCAAGCCTGCAGCAAGGGGCCGGGGGCGGGGGAGTGGGCGTCCGGGGCGGGGAGGCAAGCAGAGGGAGTGGTGGCGCCGACTGAGTGGAGACAGTCATGAGGCATGCAAGCTGCGGCTCCCGTGCCGCGTCCCGTGCGCTCCCGATCCCGCCCCGCTGCACACCACACACATCCGCACCACACCTGTGAGGTAGTCCTTGGGCTGCCCCACATCCATCCAGTACCCCTCCAGCTCCACGGCGTACAGCTGCCCGTCAGCCGCCACCTGCGGGGGGCACAGGCAGGCACCAAACAGCGCGGGGGCACAGTTGGCGAGGGCTTGGCAGGGCGCTGCAGCCCGGCAAAAGGAGACGGGCACTGCTGCGGGGAGGCGCCCGACAGAAACCCTGGGGGCCAGAAGCCCTGCCATGTAAGTGCCGCCCCATGATGGCGTTCCTTGGCGCTCCTCCCGGGCCCCAAGCTGCCGCTCCTCCCCGGCCTGCTGGTCACCTTGGGGAAGATCTCCTTCTCGATGCTGGTGGGGCGGGGCTCGATGCGGTCCAGGATCTTGGGCGACAGGCAGTAGATGCCCGCGTTGATCTTGTCGCCCACAAACACCTGCGGGGCAGGGGCAGTCGGGGGGTGGGCCGTCGGGAGGAAAGCGCTCGCTGGCAAGGGCGCAGCGTGTGGGGCACAGGCACCCTCCGGCAGTGGTAGCCAGACGCCACGGCAGAAGCCCTGCCCCTCCCTCACCTGCGGCTTCTCCACAAACCGCTCCACCTTGTTCTGATCGTCCATCACCACCACGCCGTACTTGGAGGGGTCAGAGACCTGCGGCAGAGGGGTTGTCAGGGGGCCCGTGGGCGCGTGTGGACGTGCATGTGCATCCTATGGGTGTGTGAGCATCCTATGTGTGTGGCCACAGCGCGGGGCAGGCGCCCCACCAAGGGGACAGGGGCCCCACCTTGGTCACTAGGATTGTGGCCTCCGCCCCGGTGCGTAGGTGCGCCTCCATCATTTGCTTCATGGGGTACCCGCACACCACATCGCTGCGCAGCAGCACGGGGGTGGGCGCAGGGGAGGCGGTTTTGTTTTAGAGCGGGCCCTGCCGGCAGCTGCGGCTGCCAGCCTGGCCTTGGGCCCCCGCCCCTGCGTCACGCCATCCTTCCATCCCGCGGCTCACAGCCTGGGGGCGGCCGCCTCAGCATGCATGCACCCGGCGGCGGGCGGGCACCTATTGAGCACGAAGAAGGGCACGCCCTCGTCGTTGTGGAGGATGTCACGCGCCAGCGCCAGCGGCCCCGCCGTGCCCATCGGCTCGGGCTCCTGTGCCCGGGGGAGGCGTGGGGACAGGGCGCCGGTAAGCGGGCAGAGCCACGCAGGCGGCGGGGGCGCTGTGCTGTGCCGTGCCAAGGCGGCCCGTGAAGGCCGTGCTTTCTACCTGTGAGCACGTGATCTTGATGCCCAGCTTCTCCTCCCACTCCTTGAGGAAGTCCATCATGACCTGCAGCACAGGCAGCCAGGCAGGCACATGACCGCAGGCAACAGGCAGGGAACGGCACGCCACGCAGGCAGGGCAGCGGCAGGAAGCGTGCGCTAGGAGGCGGCCACCTGCTGGACCCACCTGCGGCCTATAGTTGATTGCCAGCACCACCTCGTCGCACCCCGCCTCCTTGAGCGCCTGCAGCAGGCCCCAACAGGTGGAGCCGTTTGCGTGGCACGGCATCGCCCAGCTGCTTGCAGGCGGCGGCCAGCCGAAGTGCTCCAACAGCCACAGCGCAGGAGCCATGCCCAGACCGCCACCCTAGGCAGCGCACCTCAATCTGGTGCACAATCATGGGCCGGTTGGCTGCAAGCAGGGGACCGAGAAAGGGCATGGAGCCAGCGAAGCAGCTACGGCGAACAAGCTGGCAGCGGCAGGCACGCCCAGCTGTGCCCCAGCCCCGATGCTGCGGCACTAGGCCGGTAGGCAAGCAGGCGTACCAAAGTCGATGATGGGCTTGGGAACGGTGAGGGTGAGCGGGCGCAGGCGGGTGCCATACCTGCAGCGGGCGTCAGCGGCAGCGGCAGCGGCAGTCAGTCGGTCGGCTGCGCACGCTTCCCCCGCACGAGCGCTCCCCCCGGCACTTGATCGGAGGGTGATGCGCAGGGATCGTGCGCTCCCAGGCAGCGCGAGAACCAGCACCCTCCCGACCACGAGCGTCCGCTAGGGCCCCTACCCGCCAACCAGCACTAGGGCCTTGGGACGACGGGCGCCGTCGGCCATGGCTGCGCGCTGCTCCTGCTCGCAGGTGACCACGCCCAGGCAAGATGTGTCCGGTAAGTGGCGGGCCAGGCGTCCGAACAATGCGCACCAATACTAGAAGGCTGATTGAATGGAATCGCGCATTGCAGGGGGGGAGGTTGGCCGGACCAAGCCCCCCGCCCGGGCCAGCTCAGCCTCCTCTGTTCAATTGCCGAACGGGGCATGCAATCGCCGATAGGCAGCGATACAAATATGGGTGGACTTCCGGGGCGGGCCTGGATGCGACGAACACGGGTACCAAACAGTGCCGCCACCAGCCGCCCGCCGCCCGAGGCCGCCGCAAGGCACTGCAGGCCCTGGCGCCTGCCACTGTATCTCGCCCACTGACGCGTCTCTCTGGGAGTTTACACCTCCTGCTAACAATTTCCGTGTCCCATGCTGGCGCCGCCACTGCTCAGAGGTCCACCGAGCGTGACGCCAGGCCGCCAGCCACGGTGTAGCCGGTGCGAGCCGCCCAGGCATGGTATTGCTTGTGGCTCACGCCTCCCATGAAAATGCGCATTCCCAGCAGCTGCTCCGCGGCGGCGTGGATGTCGGGGCCGTGCAACAGCGCCTGCCGCCGCTCGGCGCTCAGCTGCTGCAGGGGTGCCGTGGCCGCCGCCGCCGCTGTCGCCGCCGCCGCCGCCGCCTGCTGCAGCACCTCGGCGCTGCCGGCTGCCTGCTGCTGCTGCCCCTCTTGCTGCGGTAGCGGTGGCCCAGCGACCGCCCCTGCTGCTATTGCTGCAACTGCGGGTGACAACTGCCAGGAAGCGGCTGCCGCAGAGCCCAGGTGCGGTGGGCTGCCCTCTGCCCTCACAGTGCCGGAGCAGGGCAGAGTAAAAGCCCAGATCTCCGTCCCGGGCGGTGGCGGCATACACGCCATACAGGTGCAGGTGGGGCAGGCTGCCCGGCTCTATGTACCGCCCATAGTACCGCACCTTCCTGCAGCAGCGTACCGGCACACCGGGTTCACGCTTGGCCAGCGCTGGCGGAAGGCGAGCAGAGCCATGTCGAGGCAGCGCGGGCTGCACCCCCGCACAGCCGCAGAGCATGCATTGCATTGCATGGCCTTGCTCCTTCCCACTGCTGCCTTCCCCCAGCCGTCCCCTGCCCACTCACTTCTTGGTGGCGGTGCTGAAGGCAGACACATGCTGCTCAAAGACGTGAGCCACGCTGTAGCCGCGCAGGTAGGCGGGGCCGCGCTCGCCCAGCCACAGGCGTCGCAACGCGTACCGCACGAACTCCAGACCGTACTGCAGGCCGCCCAGGAAGCCACAGGCCGGGGGAGAACATGGCTGGGTTGGGGATACCAGCATCATCACAACCCTGCGGTGCCCCAAGGCAAAGCAGCAGCCAGGCCTTACCCAGATGGCTCTAGGCGCGCCCCGCTTCTTGTTACGGGATCCAAAGTCGTAAACCAGGCAGCTGCGCAGCAGCAAAGGTCGTATAGGTGGGCGGGCCGACGTCATGCGCCCACACCGCCCACACAGCCCACAGCCCCACATAAGGCGATTACAGCGCCCACAGAGCCACATGCGCCACACAGACGCACCACTGCCCCAGCGCCAGCCGCATCAGCAGGTCGCCGTCAAGGTCGTTGATGAGTGCCTCAAACTGCTGCTGCTCACAGCGTGTGCTGGGCAGGCGCAGGAATTGGTAGGGCAGGCCCAGGGCCTGCAGCCGCGGCAGCGCCTCTATACCGTTGGTGAGGTTGACGAAGTGGCAGCACGCTGCCAGTGGGGGCAGCTGCACCTCCTCCACACACTGCGGCAGGGGCCAGGCGGGAGGTTAGTATTTCGTGCACCAGCGTCTTAGCGGAGCAGCAACAGCAGCAGCGGCAGGCCCACCCGTCTGTCCGGGAAGAAGGCAAGGGTGGGCGGGGTGGCGGCTGCAGGTGGGGGGCCCGTCGCCGCCGCTGGCGCCCCCTCTACAGCAGCTGCGGCTGCGTGCACTCTTCGTCTGCGCCTTCCGCAGGCTGTGTGTTCCCTACGCGAGCGGTGGTGAGCGGGGCGTGCGAGGCTGGGGCATGGCAGTGCGTAGACTACGCTCATAATGGAGCACGAAGCAAGGAAACGAGCGGGAAGTGCATTGCATGCCTTTTCATGGCCGGTGAAGTGGCGGCTGCTTTGCCCGCTGTGGGTCAGTGCCGCCTCGCTGAGGGAGTGTTACCAGCAGAGGCAGTCCAACTTATTACATGTCCATGCTGGTCAGTACTTCAGACTGTCATGGTCGTGGCGAACGTTGCTGTGGGCGGATCAAGCTCGCAACTCGCTGCCGCCCGCTGCTGTTGCGGTAACGCCCAGCGTGGCGGGCATCTGTTCTACCTGCACAAGTTGCCTGGATGCAGCACCTGCTAGGATGATTACACATATCCACGAGCTCAGCCACTGCAGTGATGCAGCAGTGATAAAATGCTGTGCCGCCTAGCCAATTCAGCCTGTGTGTTAAGTGTTGGGTACGAGCGGCCCAAGATACTGTGCCACAGAAACGGAGGGAGGGGCTGCAGTCCAACCTGATGTTGCAGCGCTACTCCTACTCCAGCTGGCGCCCGTGCGCATCCGGCAGTTCATGTGATGCATTGGGCTGATGCATTGGGCAAGGCCGGGGGAGCCGCCGGGGCGCAAGGAGGCCGCCAGCCTGTCGACTCTTACTTCATCAGGGAAACAGCGGGGCTCCTCCCTTACGATCTTGACACCCACCCCGTGTTATCATGGCGACTCCATAGGAGATGGCGCTGCGCCGGCCCGCCAGGCGGGGTGGCCTAAAAACAGCGGCTGTGACACTTGCGATCGTTCTGGTTCTGGGATGCATCGCGCTTTTGTATTCAGCGAGCGACAGCGCGCACACAGACGCGCCGCGCAAGGTCGGTGTCTGCTGGGGTTTGCGGCTGCAGAGCGCTGTGCTCAAAACAGATGCGCTGCTGCCACGCCTTGCCCTCCCTGGCCGCCTTCCTCGGCCAGGCCAGGCAGGGCCGGCTGGCCCGGTTTGCCGACCGGTGCCATGAGGAGCATGCTGCTGCCCTGGCACAGTGACTCCCTCGGTTCCCTTGAGTAGGGCCCAGGCATCTTTTGCCCGGCCTTGGCTCCCGACCCACCCCCTCCCCCCGCAGGTAAGAGCAGCGTCAGCGTCAGCAAGCAACGGTCAGCGGCAGCCCCACCAC